CTGGCCGGTATTGCCCACCTGCTGTAGCAGGTATCGCACCTGCTGGTGTGTGCAACTCCCGCATGTTCCCTCGTTGGAGGCTTGAGCACGGATGTGACTGCTACGGGGTTCCCCGTAATACTATATGACAATTAAAAAAGGCCTGAAAGGCCATCCTGTCCAGATTTGACAGGTAATTGAATTGGTTGGGCTTAAAGAATAAGACTTATAAAAAACAAAAAAAAAACTACCTGCCACCCCAACTGTTTGGGTTGGAAGTAGTGCAATCCCCCGAACACAATGCATAAAGGTTGCTTTCTATTCGAATACAAAGCGCGTGCGTTCTATTTGAGCAGCCGTGATATTTATGGAAACTCGAATACAACACATATAACTCTGTATTCTATTCATCGATGTTTTTGGAAAACTCGAATACAACGCGTATGTGTTCTGTCTGGGAGAAGACGGTAGGTGCGTAAGTACACCAGAGTGGGATTGATTCACAGAAGATCCTCTCAGTCTGAGAGCAGAGATTCAGTATAAAAGATGCCCAGTCTCCTTTTTTTTTTCTTTTTTTCTTTTTTTCTTTTTTTTTCAATCTCGCAGTGCTGATCACTGCTTTTTCTTTTTCTTTTTCTCCCGGTACTGACCACGTTGTGTGTGGCGAACGGGGGGATGACTCAGACTCAGCTCCATCACTGGTTGAGGCATGTGCAGAGCTGACTTGCTGGCAGCGCCATAACTGGGAGCCTCAGCCACTCACGCAAGTGGGACAAACTCGATGGGAACATGCATCACGTGGGAACAGTCTTAGCACTTTTTTACTTATTTCTGGACGGAATTGCAGCCAGATGCATACACATTTGGCCGGAAATGCCGTCAGATACAGTTTAGATAGTGCTAGTGTGAGTACGCCCATAGAGCCGAAAGGGTTCACACTATTCTGTCTACGATGAACTTCACCACAGGAGCAGTAGGCCACCGACAGACGTTCCCCAAAAAAAAAAAGAACAAAAAAATGACAGATGAAGGTCATGGGTCCCCCACACCGGCGGCCCCACCACATCCTTGACCACCA